ATGAATATGAATTATGGTAGAAACTATCCTTTGTGCTCGCCACGTCCTGTTGTATTTCTCGTGGATCGGGCGTATGGGAGGAGCACATTTCCTGTTGTCAGGCACTTGGGTCAGGTCACATGACAGTTCTGGCCCTGGGCACGGGGCTAAAGGTAGAGCCAGCTGCTCCCTGAACATCATCTCTGGGGTCCTCTTGTCATTTCAGCGTGCCTGAGGCCACTGTTTGGAGGGAAGAACCCAGGCTGGGAGCAGCTGGAGCCTGCAAGGAGGGGAGCCTCCCGCCGCTGACTTGGCATGACCAAGAACTGAACCTCTGCTGTGTGGGGCCTGAGACTTGGGGGTTTGCTCCCTATCTCCGCTTTGCCTTACCTAGCTGGATTAACACCTGGAGGCCACCTGGGGCCAAACGCAGCATGTACAGGGCCTTCGGAGCTAAAGCATGAGGCTTCAAATAAGCAGCTGCTGGCACCTGGCCTCTCAGCCATGGCCGCCGACGCTGGCCTGTCAGTCTGGGGTCTGTTTCACTTCGACACTGGGTCCAGTGATAGCCCCAGTGACCCACTGGTGCCAACAGCCACTGGCTCTGGAAACAGTTCGAGGGGATCTGTGAGTGATGAGTGAGTCACTCCGGAGGTGGACGCTCCAGCAGGTCATGCCATCAGTCCCGAGTGTCTGATAATTAAGCCGAGTGAGAGAGGAGCCCAGCACCAGCCCTGGAGACCCCCAAAGCCGTCCTACTGGGAGCGAGAGAAGACCACGGCAAGGGATTGTGTCCTTGTCCCAACCCAGATTATCTGATGAAACCCTCCCTCTCATTGTGATGGTATTAGGAGGTCAGGACTTGGGGACATGATGAGGTCATGAGGGTGCGGCCCTCATGAATGGCATTATCCCTTATAAGAGAGACACAGAGGTCTCTCTTCCTCCTCCCAAGGTATGAGGATCCACTGAGAGGTCACCAGTCTGCAGGTCGGTGAGGCCCCCTCCCAGAACCCACCTCACTGACCTGTGATCCTGGACTTTGGCCTCCAAAACTGGGAGGAGGAAATTTCCATGGTTTCTAATCACCTGTGGATGGTGCTAACTTCCGTGGTCTGTGATCACCCGTAGATGGTACTCCGTTACTGTAGCCTGACCACAGCGACTCCAGTCTAGCCCAGGGAGCCCAGCTCCTCCCATGGGTCCCAGTGGAGAGCCGAGGGACTGAGCAGCAGCCAGCCTGACTCACACGCTTGGCTCCCACATGTGACGGGCCGTGCTCAGGTGCCGCTGTGGTCAGGACCTTGTTTGAGTTGCTTTTTCTAGGCCCCCGGCTTTGTGAAAAACCTGGAATTAAATCCACTAAAAAATCGGAAGCGGTAATGAAAGCATTGCTAAAGCTTTCTCCTTACGTGCAACCCCCATGTGTTAAATGGGCAACAGCCGAGCAGCTCCAAGAGTCTCCAAGGTGCTACTTTAAAACCCTTCAGCTAGAGGCTCTCCAGATCCCCTTCCATGGTGGGTATTTGACGAGGTGACGGGCTGAAGGACAGGCTGGCTTCTGCTTTATTCCTTTGCTCCAACAGGGCAAAATGGATCCCCTCCCTGAAGATGCCTTAAAATCGAGTCCCTAACTTGCTGGGCACTTAGAGCAATTCTCTGCCCCTCTCTAAACACCCCTTGCCTCATTTGAAAAACTGGAAATTCAGAATATAGCAGGCAGGAACACAGTCTTCTAACAAATTCTATTAAACAAGTGTGACAAAGCCAGAGCTGTTCTGTTAAAGACAGAACAGGGGCGGGGTCTGTGCCCTGAGGAGCCACACACAATGCTCCAGGTTCCTTGGGACCAGTGGCTTGATGGTACCCACTCACTGCCTGAAGAGTACCTGGGCTGGTGCAGCGGGCCATGGCAGTCCTGACCGGGCAAGCTGCCCCAGTCGCCTTCCCGCCTGGCTGCAGGACCTCAGGCAGGCAGAGCTGGGGTTTACCTACAGAGCGTGGGGCGACAGCCTGCTGCATGGCAGAGCCATGGCTGGCATCAGGGCCTAGGACTGAGGGACTGGCACACAGTGGACACACGAGGGAGGTGAAGGGACTGAGCATTTCATGCAATGGCAAACCACTGCGGACCGGGGAGGTACAGCGGTCACAGAGTCTGTCTGCGGGCTTCCAGCACTGCAGAGAAGCCTGAGAAAGGAAGGCTTTCTGAGGCCCCCGGGGGGTGGTGATTTCCAGGGAGCTGGGGTCTCACTTTATTTTTAACTCCAAGCCATCTGCTTTTTACTTCCCACCAGGTGGTCCACAGTCTGGGATATCTTCAGAGCAGAGGGACCATGGTCTCCCGCAGGGCCCGCGGGGAGGAGGTGCTAGGAGGGCTGAAGGCCTCATTCTCAGGGACAGAGCTGCCAGCTGTCCCCGCAGCACCAGGAGTCACCTTTGTGCAGCTCCAACAACAGCTCAGTTCTCCAGGGAGGTGCCCTGCCTTGAGCACCCCAGGGACAGTTACGCTTACAAAGCAAACACCTGCTCCACTGAGCAGCACGCGGGGGAGGGGCCCTCTCTCCGGGCAGGGGTTTCTGTCTCAGAGTTTCTGATAGGTAGCCGCACCCTAGGGGCTGGGCCTCCCTGCCTAAGGGAGGTTGTCCCCAGTAGGTCAAGGGTTGGAGGATTCCCGAGCCCCTCCCTCTAGCTCATCACCTCAGTGTCCTGAGGCAGTATGTGACATTTTTAGGTGAACATTAACCATTAGGGGAGAAAAAAAAAATTAAAAGGTGCCCTCTTCTCACTAATTGACCCAAAATGAACAAGCGTGGTCCACCCGGTGGATTTGCTGTCAAAAATTACCATGCAGAAGAAACCATCAGTACTTGGCAGCTGTTTATACAATGAGCCTGTGTTTAGCAACACTCAGCTTCATTTCATTACTGCATTTTACGAAGTTACCAAGACAACTGAGGCCAAGTGACAGAACCTTGACTTTATGCGCCATGAAAATTTAATAAAGAATTTTTAAAGGCTTTTAAGAAGCAGGAGTTGCAGCCTCTTAAAGGCAGAACGGAGCACAGAGGGAGGAGGGCGTGAGCACCCGGGGCCTCTCATCAGACTGCACGGAGCCTCCCGTCAGGGAAGTCGCGGTGGACAGTGTTCCCCAGCGTCCGTCTTGTTTCAGCACAGGAGACCGCTTCTTTCCTCGACAGATGTTACTAAGACACCCTCTGGGTGTCAGGTCCCATGCCAGGCTCTTTACATACATCCTGACATCAGTGCAGGGAGGACAGGGACCAGAGTGGTGAAGTCGCTGGTTCATGGTCACTTAGCAGTCGCGTGGCAGGCTCCAAAGCCCTTGCTCTTGCCGGACAGCGCACAGCCTCCTCTGGGATGCTCTGCCTGTGTTTGCCCAGATCTGACGCAAGCGGTTCTGAAGGGAAATGCCCCTGCAGCCTGGGAGGGCCTGGGAGCCAAGGCTCGGCTCAGATGAGGTCCCCTGGCCCAAGAGCCCTGGGCCTGGACCAGGGCCTGGCTGGAGTCACAGCCATGTCTTCATGTTGGGAAAATGTGTCCTAGGAGCTGGGTGGTGAGCGCCATGCTCTCCCAGGGCTGCAAAGAGCCCTTTCTGCGCTGCTCTCTAAATAGGACTCAGGAACAAATGACCAAACGAGAAAAGCATCAGCAATTTTGCCATTTTATGTCAGAGCTCCACGGTGCTCTGTATGAGTGTGTGTGAGTGTGTGTGTATGCGTGCATGCTTTATACTGAGTGTTGTTTCTAGTTTCAGCCAGCTCAAGGCTTTCGCTCACTGGAGATGAAGGGAGCTGGACCCATCAACCTTCTGCAGAGCTGCTCCGTCTCCGGGAACAGACGGACATGCGGACTTCTTTTGCAAGAGAGAAATTCACATGCCATATGGGAACATTCCTCTCCCATTCATCAGGCTGAGTAGAAGGCTGGGGAAAACATCAATCAAGGTGAAGTGGATTTGAGGTCACTGTCCCCTGTGGGGACTGTCCCTCCCTGAACGAGGGGCCAGCTCTCTCAGCCACGGGACACCAGCCCCCTGGTGGGAGAGTTCACCCCGTGTGAGCGTCCAGGGAAAGCGCTCAGATGCTGAGCGCCGCACACCCTGCCCCAGCGATAGGGCCGAGGAGTGCAGGTCATTAATCAATACACGGAGAGATGAGGCTATTTTGGAGTGACATTCTGCCAGTCACAAGGCACCTTCCCAGTGTCGGAGGAGCAGAGCGGCAGGAAACATTTTTCAGCCGTGACTGTCCTTCACTATGTGGCTGAAGGGGTGGCGGGAGGGAGAGGAGCGGACCATTCTGGCTTCGTTGGTCTCGATGGGTAGTATGATTCAGGAATGCTTTTACCTCCAGCCCTTTACTCTCTGCAGGAGACCAGAAGCCACTCTGAAGATGACACTACTTTTGAACAGCACTTTGGTTCACAAACACCTTCACACTGGCTTTGCTTTCTCATTGTGTTTTCCTAAAAACCCCGAGACAGATGACTTCACTACCCTATTTGCGTGGCTAGGGGAGCTGGAGTTTTTGGCAAGCGTGCCCTGCACCGCCTTGCAGGCGTCT